AATTTTACGGAAGAGTAGGCGATTTTCTAGTTATAGTTGGTTTTTTTAAGAATTTAGTCAGCTAGGCGGGTATTTGACATAATTCAGTTGGGTAAATTTTTATTTTAAGGACCTTTTTTTTTACGAAACCAATAGGTATTTTTTATAGACTCACCGCCCCCGCCCCCCTTAATTTAATTTGTAGAATTGCCTCAGGCGCCAATAACTCGATTTAGTTAAAAATGGTTCCTTTCAGTTTAAAGACATCGAACAGCCGTGGCGCAGTGGTTAGAGTTCTGGATCAGAACCCAGAGGTCCGAGGTCTATGATAAGACCGTAAGAATTTCTGGGAGCACCTAAATAACTATATAAAAAAAGTCATCTAATTAAAATTAGATTGTACTTACACTCTTAAAATTTGTTGGTGCTAAGTCGCATTTATTCAAGTTTCTTACAATTTTTATCGTAAACAGACGTTATTTGTTTATGATTCTTTTATAGTAGTGTTTTAATTAAATTAAAACTGTTGGTTACTTAAACAGTAAACTTTCTTAAATTATAATGGCAACTTAAAAGGGCAGACAGCGATGTGTGAGTATACTGACTGCAAAAAGATTTTTAAAATTGAAGGTGGCTCAACGATAATTCTCCATACACACTTACTTTCAGTCCATAAAATTAACCTCACACCAACTACTATTTCAGCAAACACACCGAACACCACCAACAAATAAAACCAAAAGGTTAACAAATTATTTTTCCGTAACACTTGTACGATTAACAGCCCTAAATGGAATTTCGTTCAACGGTATATGCCGTTCTAATGATTTACGTGCAGGTCTTATAGCAGCTGGATTCAAACGTTAACCCACAACAGTCTGTAACACGTAAAATGGTTGTAGGTTACAGTAAAAAAAAAAAGTCTTTTAATTACTAAAATAGACGGCAATAAAAAACCTGATTTTGGTTTAAAAGAAAGATTTTCTTTATCTATTGATGAACGGACATCACTACGTAACCGTTGCTACATGAATATTAATTTGTATGCACGAAATTCTCCGTTCTGGAGCTTAGAATTAATTTGTATAACAGAATCAATGTTTGCAGCTGAGTGTATTAAGCTTTTAGAACAAAAGCTTGCACAACATGGACACATTCATTTAAAAATTAGATAGTTTGCGATAGAATTTTAAACAGTTTTATGGATATACTTTTCTATGGTATCTATCCCTATAAATAAAACATATTAATTATCTCCATATGTCGCATCTTCCAGCATTTTAATTTCATAAATACAACGGAGAAAATAGAAATAGCCTCACCTTTATTTTTCGTTTTAATTTAACAAAAATGGCAGTGAAACAATTATTAAATCTACTTTGTTTCTTATTATCTTTTGCACAACTTTTAATTTTTCCACAACTTTTAATTTTTAAAAAAAGTAAAAGTTGTGGAGAAAATAGAATTAGCCTCATATACGTTATATACAAGAAAATACAGAAAATATTTTATTTTTACGCTCATTCAATATTTAGTATTGCTTCCTAAATTTTTAATGACTTTAAATATACGACTTGACATACTAGTCACAAGATTTTGGATAGTTTCTATAGATATTTCATTTCAAGCTTCTCTGATACGAGTTTTCAGCTCCAAGGTGAATTCAAATTGCTTGCCATTTTCATTAACCTTTCTAAGAAAGTATTCCCCATAGATTTTCAATTGAGTTAAGATCTAGACTACATGTGGGCCATTTCATTACATGAATATTTTTTTCTCTAAACCAATCTTTTGTAAGCTTTGAATTATAGATAGTAGCATTATCTTGTTAAAAATTTAAATTTTCACCCATCAATTCCTCACCATGTTCAAGCAAACTTATTTCTAATAAATCAATTTAGTCCTGTAAATTCATTTTTGTTGAAATCCATTCCAGTGAAAGTTTTCAAGCAAAGGAAAAAGCCCCCCAAACCATAACAGTTCCGCTACCAAAGTTACGATTCATACAAGTTTCTTTCTCTTTTCGAAGATTGTACCAGTGATATTGATAGCCATCAGGACCATCTGGATTGAACTTTTTTTCATCACTAAAGAGAACTTGATGCCACTCTTCCAGCCAAGACATGTGTTCTTTTGCAAAATGTAATCTAACTTCTTTATGACGAGCAGTAGTTTTGGTTTTGGTTTACGCTTTTTCCAAACTGTGTTTGGATCTTCATTTTAGATTTGTTTCACACGTTGAGCAGATACAGGTAATTGTAAATCAGCACGAATTTGAGATCCAGTCATGTGCACGACGTACAATAACTCGTTTCGTGCGATTATCAATTTTACGATTGCCACCACTTTCCTTATAAGCTCCATAATTAACGCCAATCTTGATGTAATTATTAACCACTTTTGGAGATCTTTTAATTTTCTTCGCAATTTCCAATTAGATAAGTCTGTATTTTTGTATGCTTTGATTACTGCTAATTCTTCATTTGTTAAACGCTTACCACGTCTTATTTCAAATTAAGGTACCAAAAACCAAACGTTAAAAACTTTATGACCACTGCTTTCACAGTCTTTGTTTAACTTACAAATAATAATAAAAAGTCACAAATGTGTATCATCATATTAAAATATACAACTGAAAATAATTATTGATGCTATTTGTTACCGCAAATATTAAGTATTATACATTTTATGGTTTTTTCAAATGTACCGCAATTTAATAATGCTATATTATAATCTAAAAAAGTTATTGTTTGTAACAATAATTATACGTGTGTGGATACAAAAGATGTACCCCACAAACTTGCTTACAGATCTACAAAATATTTGATCAGTACATGGTGAGGCTAATTCTATTTTCTCCACTGTATACGCATTAGTCAGCATATTCAAATTTCCGGTCATTTCATCGTGTATTATTACAAAGAGTTAGACTAATGTTCAATAAATTTCTACTGCATTAAAAGATTACAAAAGTTTCAATAATATTTATATTAAACGACTTAATATGTAATAAAGATTTTATCTTTATTACATTTAAAGAAACCATAACATTTAAAACGTTTAAAAGTTTTCAGAAATGTGCAAATAACATTTTTATTGGAGTAAAAATCTCATAGTATCTCATATGACAGTAAAAACTTTAAATAAGATTTTTACTGAGAAGTAAAAAAAAATGCGGGGGTAAAAATCTCATACTACACCAGGGTGGTTGGCAAACTTTATTATAAAGCCCTAAAAGAGCTCCGGGAAAATATTTTTATAATGAATGCAACTTGAGCATGCTACATAAAGTTCATAATCTTCATAACTAGACTTTAATATTTTCAAAAAATGTATCATTAGGGCTATAGCCTTATTAAGATAGTTACTTCTTTCCTGAACTTTGAAGCTTAGCATAGGTCTAGAATAATGACGAAATTAACTACCTTGCAGCAGCAGGCTATAAGATAGTCGATCTGGCAGTACTCTCTTTAAGCAACAGGCTATAAAATAGTGGATGTTGCAGCACTTCTTTGTAGCAGCAGGCTATAAGACGGTTGATTTAGCAACACTCCGCGCATGTTTTACGGTAAAAAATCAGCAAAAGCCATCCTTGCACGTTTTACTTATTTGTCAGTCAATGTAGTAACACTCCTCGCAAGTTTTAAAAATATTATAAAACAACAAAAAAACAAAAACAAAACTTAAAAAAAACTTCCTAGTCATAATTATTGCGGTTTTTTAAAAACCAATAAAAATTAATGTTTGGATTTTTTTAATTATTTTAACTTTTAAAGGACATTAATCTTAATACATGTGAGTCTTTCGTGACGAGTGATCCGTATAGCGGTTCATAAAATTTGTTTCTAAATGACAAGTGACCCGCGGTTCCTACACAATTTTGAAAATTCTTAAACATTTATAGCAATTGGTGAAAACTTTAAATTTATCTCTAAAATGTGAATAATTTCTTAAGTTAACGCTTCAAACCGTTTGTTAATTGCATTTATAGATTTCTCAAAAATCAATTTTAAAAAATGAGTAAAAATAGATTAAATTATACTGGTATAAATGAGATCTTTGATATTTTTTCAAAGATAGTGATGGATATTTTTTTTGTTTGATCGTCACTATAAATGTCTTTTATTTAGTAATGAAAACGATATGTTAATGTATTATCCTTTACTTATTTAAGGTTACATAAAGAGACAATATATTTTTGTTTATTTTAACATTTTGATCACGGAATTTAGATTAAAAAAAATATTTTAAGACAGTAAAATTAAACTTTTCGACAGCGCAATCCACTAGAGCTTATTGGACAATTCGTTCTCGTCTCGTTCAGTAGTCATGTTTTCAAAAAAATCAACACTGGGCCGTATATCAGTGCCATACAACTTTTAATCATTACTTGGACATATACTACACTGATATCCCTTAGTGATTTCACTAAATTAACTTTTTCTGTTATGTAGCATTCTTACAGTTTTTACTTGTTGGCCGAAATTCTACTGTTACTTATTCAAACAATAATTTTTGAAATTTCCACGTTTACAAGGGGTTCAAGGTTTTGTCTGAAGACTATTTGGGTGTTACTGGAGGTATATTCAACGGAATAAAAGTTAAACTTATAATTTTTTTTTTGTTCTGCCAATCAATAGTTCAACTAATTTCAGATACAAAGAAAACAACGCAAACCAAAATGATATTAAAAAAAAAAGTAAAAAAGATAAATCCAGAGCCAGTTTCCAAATAATAGATTCAATGTTTTAATTTATAATATATACAAATTGCTTATATCTTTTTATTATCTATCGTTTATTGATCCCACAAAGTGCGCATTGAGGCTTTGGAAATAAATTTTAGAAAACCGCATTTTAATGACGCACATGACTTTTCAAAGTTAAAAACGTTACTCTGCGATCTGTTTGGTAATGTATTTAAGAACAATTATTTAGATTTTTCTAACGACTAAGTTATTTTTTGTTTATTGAAATACTTGACCACATGAAAAGCCTTCCATAGTCAAAAAAAAACTAAATGTGTTTCGTCAATGTCAAAGAAAATACAAAAAATCCCATTACAAGTAATGGCACTGGATAGACATGATAATAATATTAAGGCTTTTACAGATTTGACGCGTTCAGATAGCGATATAGAAACTCAAGTATTGCAAAGAAATAAAGATTTAAACGAAAATGTATCTTGGTCAACTTTGCCACGCTACGAAAGTTTAATTGAAGAGTTTATTATAGATGAGCCTCCAAAGTTTGAAATCGTTACTGGTGAAAAGTTACACATAGAACTAGTAAGTTTTATTAAATAATTGTCACTTTTTTTTTTGAAATTTTTTTGCGGAACGGACAAAAAAAAAAAAAACTATTTCTAATCATACGAAAATAATAGTTAGGTATACATTTTTATACAGCTATGCCTAATCAGGGGTTTTTTGGGACAGTTTTTCTAATAGTTTATTTTTAAATAGTTGTTTAGGAGTTGCACTAACTTTAAAAGATTACACAAAGTTAAATCATTTTTTTTATCCTAACCTTTTCCTGAAATTACTTCAATAAGGTAACGCGTGGTTACTTTGACATTTGGGTAACATTGACAAGTGTTTGATTAAATGTTTTAACCCGTCACCCGTTAACTATTGTTAAAATTATTTAAACAGATGCTGAAGCCAGATGTTGAATGAACAATTATATATAAATTTTAATCAGCATACTAATAAATATAAATAACAACATAGTATAACGGGCATAAATTAAACTAATTTCTAGTTATCTTTTTTGCAAAAAAAAAATTAGTTAAAAGATAAATAAAAATATATACAATACCATTTTACATGTGTTTTTCTGATAAAATGTACCAAGATATTGAATATCAACAGATCTAAAATCCAACATTCTCAAAAAGTTAAAATCCATCCCCAGTGGCGGATTGACTTCTTGGGACTCGGGGCTATTTTTGTTTTTTAGGCTTTTTTATAGGCCAGAGCCTAAAAATGACTAAAAAAAAAAAAAGTTTCTTTAAAATTTTTGGGAAAAACATCAGAAACGTAAAGACGTAAACGTAAAGACGTAAAAAATTACTTTGTTGTTTCAGAAATTATAACAAACACATTTACAGCATAAATATACTACTGTCTATGTTACCCCGTATAGGTATAACATTGACAGTTGAACCTCATCAATAAAATTAATTATCTATCAATAATATTAGATAACTAATTATACTCTTCATCAGTTTATGGCAGCAACATCATTGGTAAACGTGTAAAAATATTGCATACCAAGTTTTGTTTGTCACAACTAAAAGAAATTGTTATTTTCTAAAGTTGTGTCGATGTTACCCCACTTTACTCTATTGAAGATGAAATTATAGACCACATAATTAAATTGTTTAAAAAACTAAAACAGCAATGTTAATCATTTTACTTTCATTATTTAACTCTGCTCCATTGATTGATATTTAAAATAAAAAAGAGGAGAAGGTTCTCCTTTTCTAAGATATTTAGAATTATTAGGGGAGGGGGATGCATACCTCCTTTCCACCTCCCCATCCGTCACTAATAAAGCCTATATTTATACAAATAATTCTTATGCACTATGCACGCTTTTTTTTTTTTTTTTTTTTTTACTACTTCAATATATTTTCACTTCATTAATTTACAGTTCTATCACATAATTTAATGCAAAGTATAACATATCGTCGCTGCAAAACAAAACTATCTTAAGTCCATTTTTGGCAAAATTGACTTTTTTGGTTTAAAATATTTCTTAGGTACACAAACGTCATCTCACAAAATATGGAACCAAAAATGATTCAACTTTTGCAGCTATGAGTAAAATTCAAATATCTTATGTCCTAAAAAAAATAATTAAGAGACATCGTTGCTGCACAACAAAACTAAAGTCCATTTTTTGGCAAAAAAAAAACCTTTTTTTGGATTAAAATACTTAACACATATAATAAATAACTAAAAACAAGTAGATTTAAAAATAGTAGTATTTAAAAAAATCAGAAGCAGTGATTAAATTTAATACTTTAAATGTCTTTTTCTCAGAACAGCAAAACGGACTTAAGATTGTCTTGTTTTGCAGCGGCAATTTAATTTGTAGAAATTTGACATATTTTATATAGCTTTAAGACTATCTTAAGTCCATTTGCATCGTTGCTTCTTATAAACTTAAAATTTTATTTTTTATTTGTTATATTATGAAAAATATTAACATAATCTATAAGTATTTTAAAAACAATTTAGTTTAATGAAGAAGTTCAAACGCAGTGATGAACTAACGCATTTAAAGTTCAAACACAGTGATGAACTTTAAATGCGTTTTTCTCAGATGGACTTAAGATTTGCAGCGACGATATAACATAAGAATACGTAATTTATCAATTATTACAAAATAAAACGTTAGATTAATAAATAATGTTTTTTATCATAAAAAGTAACTGTGTTTTATTTTTAAATAAAAACTAAAAGCTATTGTTTCTTTAAATATAAACATGTTGTTGTAAAGGAGAATCGTAGAAGACTATGAATTCATCGAGTACCTCTTTAGATGGTTAAATAAATTTAATTAATTTTTGTATATAGTTAAAAGTGATTAAACAATATACAGTGAGTCATACACATGAATATTTTAGAATAAATTTTGTTGTTAAGTTTAATACATGTAATAATATAATTGTTGATATTAAGTATGAGTTGTTTAAATTTTTTTTTCAAGTTGGCAGGATTATTTAATGCTTCAAGTTCTATATTTTCGGATATTTTTTTTTGATATAGGTACGGATCCCGGTAGGAAAAAGAGAATCGTGAGAACTTTGTTGTTTTTTAGGCAATGCGAAGTTGCCTGTTGCTCTTGTGATATATGTATTAGAGTTAATTTGAAAAAATTTGTCTGAAAAATGCAATGGGATTAGTCCAAGATTCTATTTAAGCATGAATAGAATATTTTGATAGATGTTCGTTTGCTAAACATTTAGTGCATTCAAGGTTTTTAGTAAAGGTTCAGCATGGGTGAGTTAATTATAAACTAATCTTAATGCATATTTTTGACTTAAATTAAGAGTATTCAATTTAGATTTGTGTATACTTACCCATGTAATACTAGCGTACGTAAGATAACTTTGGATGTAAGAAAAAAAAAGAGATTTAAGATTATCTTGCGACAACATAGGTTTAACTTTGTAAAGTATTCCAATACTTTTTTAAATTTTGGTGTTTATTGTACTAATATGGGCTCTCAAAGTTCTCTCAATAAGTATCGCAAGAAATTTAGTTGCTTCTGTTCTTTTTATGTTTACCTTATCTCTTTTTAGTGAGGGAAGTATAGTTGGTTTATAATTTTTTTGTTTTTTGGAATGAAACAATATATATTTTGTTTTTTCTGTATTTAGTTATAACTTATTTAATTTCAACCAGATGTTTAATCTTTCAAGCTCTTTGTTCATTTTTAAAGATCTTTTATTGAGTTCGAGGAATAAAATAAATTTATGTCATCGGCAAACATAACATCAAGTTTTTTTGAGGTTTTTGTAAGGTTGTTAAATTATAGAAAAAACAGAAGGGATCCAAGAATGGAACCTTAGGAGACAACACACTCTATTCTTAGTAGTTTTGAGTGTTTATAGTTGTCTGAAATAACAAACTGTTGCCTGTTGCTCAGGTATTTTTTGAACCAGTCAAGGGTGATGTTTTTTATTTCGTAACTTTTCATCTTTTTAAGTAAGATATTATGATTTGCAGTGTCAAAAGACAGGCCTATAAAGATGTCTTTGAACATACTGTTTTTTATCGAAAGAATTGCTTATACTATTAGTTAGGTCTAGGATTGCGTGTTCAGTTGAATATTGTTTTTTGAAAGCCAAATTGTTTTTTATTTAGGATTTTATTTTGGGTTAAATATTCTTACAATATTATAGATTACTTGTTTGATAAGCTTACAGAAGGTAGGAAGTACCGAGATAGGTCCATAGTTATTAATTAATTATGATTCACCTGTTTTCAATATTGGTACTACTTTAGCTACTTTTAACTTGTCCGTTATAACTCCTGTATTATTCGAAGACATGAAAATTTCAAGTATAAGTTTATTTATTGCTGCAAAAACATTTGCCACTATCCTACTACAGATATCATCTATACCTGAAGTTTTATTTAATTTTAAGGAGTTCAAAGCAAAGTTAAGTTCTTGATTGTTTAGTTCTTTGTATTTTGGTTCGCTCTGGGCATCAGTTAGATATGATTTAAACAAGTTATTAGGAGACTCAATTTTGGAGGCAAAATTAAAGCCAATGTTAACAAAAATTCGTTGAATTTTTCAGCTATTTTATTTTTATCAATGTACTCTATATTGTCTATTATAATTTGAGCAGGCAAATCATTTGATTTAGTTTTTTTTGTTCCAAATTATTTTTATGTTGTTTTTTTTCCATGTTTTCTTAATGTCACCAGTTACATTTTTTATTTGCTTCGAGTAGTAGTGTTTCTTTGAAGTTTTTTTATTTTTTCAAATAAATTTTTGTATTGCTTATATGTATTTAGGTTTTTTTCATTTTAATTTTTTAAATACTTGATGTAAAGTTTTTTTTTTTTCTTTGAAGATTTTTTTATACCTCTAGTAATCTATTGACAATGTAAGTATTTTACTTTTAATTGTTGTTTTATAATTGGGAAGTGATTTTTTTAATGCTTTAAGAATATTTCTGAAAAATCATTATAAGAATGTACACAAGGTTACATTTGATTTAAAGATAAATCTTATCCCATCTCACTGCCGATAGTGGGTCTTTATACTGTTGAATAGTAAATTTATTAATTTTTCGTTTATAGACTTTGATTTTAGAGTTATTTGTTTTTGTATCTTGAAACAAATAAAAGTATACCGGAAAGTGATCGGATGTATCCATTTTGATTACACCTCCTTTTAATGAAGAATCATAAAATGAATTATCCAATATGTTGTTTGTTGCAGTGATTGAATTTTATGTTACCCAGATGAATTCGTTTATTATAGGGAAGATGTAGTGTTGAAACATATCACCAAAAAATTATTTGGCAACAGTATCTTTATTGTAATGTAGACTTCATTGTACTGTAGTTTTTGTTAATGTCTCATATACAGAATAATATTTTGTGCTTTTTGTTGTTTTTTAGAAATGTTTGTTTTTGATGATTTGAAAATGTTTTTAAATTACTTTTAGGTGGTCTGTAATAGGTGGGAACCAGTATTTTTTTTAACTTTTGGTTTCATATTTCAATTGTAAAGACCTCACCATAGGCATCAGAAACCGAAAGATCGTCTCTAACTTTAGTTGTCTTATCGTTATGAATATATGTCATAATAATACCTCCTTGTTTTTGAACTTTTCGCTCATAAGACTTTAGTTTGTAGTTCGGAATTAATAAGTTTGAATTTTTTCTGGATGATTCGTCAAAACACCAGGTTTCTGTTAAGCAAATCATACTGAACGAAAAACAACATTGTACAAGAAAATGTTTTAGTTTGTTAATATTGTTAATTATACTTCTTATATTTATGTGTATCACCGTATAGTTATTATTTAATGATTTTAATTCATTTTTTTAAGTTTTTATATCAAAAAACCGCGAGTTAATATTATCTCCATTAAATAAATGCAAATCTGGATCGTAAAAGTTATCAAAACGTTTTAAGTGAACTTAAGATTTTATTTTAATCTTGGTATCTTTTTCACTACGATAGTTCTTTGTGTTTTGTCTTCTTTACCCAATTTAATGTGCTCGCTCCACAATAACTTCGCTTGAAATTTTAAAATTGTTTGTGAAATTTTTTTTCACAGATTTCTCATACTCCAACTTTCTTCCAGCAAATCTTTTAGACCATCGATTCTTATGTTGTTATGACGAGAACGTCGTATGTCAGTATTTTTTTAATTTATATTGTTAACTTCAAAATCATACCACTTTCTTATTTGTTTTAAATCTTCATTTATTTTTTCTTCTTGAAAGTTGAGATGTTCTTTCACATCGTTTATTTCCTTTTCACTATTTCGCATATTATATATAATGCTTTTTTGTTGGTATTTAATTCATTTTCTATTTTATCAGTAATTATTTTTATATTCCACTCACTATTTGTGTGAACTTTTTTTTCTTGATCTTTTAACAACCTTTCTGTTTCATTGAGCAAACTTCTTTTTTGTTCTTCAAACTTGTTTGTAATAATTTTTTCGATATTTTAGATTAATATTCTTGAAGAGCAGTCCAAAACACGTGCGTTTGCGACAAAAACATTTTAAGAAAAAAAGACATTTAAGAAAAAAAGACATTTAAGAAAAAAAGACAATTGATATTTATTAATTGAATGTTAATAAATAATCATGTTTTTAAATAACAAACATTTAGTTATTAAGTTAATTAAACACATTTAATTAATATAAGAAATTTAAATATATTTACAATGACGCGTTTCAAAAGTTTTTTGTCGTAAAAGTTTTGTAACTTGAGAAATGACTGTTTCAAAAGTATATATAAATATATATTTTATATTAAGTGAGTATATTGCGATACTGCAGTATATTGTATGTGTGCAAAGTATATTGTATGTGTACAAAGTACATTGTATGTGTACAAAGTATATTGTATGCGTACAAAGTATTTTCATTCCCTCTTCCCTTTAAGATGTTTTAAAGATCTCAGGGACGGCCCTGGGATAATATACATAAACAAATAAGTTCTCGGAAGCACATTCGTTACCGTTTTGAAATTAATATAAACCTACTTAGCTCATTGGTTAGATTATTATGTGGAAGGACTTTAAGTTACAACTATTTTTGTTTGTTATGTAAAACACGAGGTAGTTTTAAACAAATAATTTTGAACAGAACAGTCACTGAAATAAGCTTAAGTAAGCATTTTTTTTGTTTTTTTTGTTTTCAGCGTTAAAAATGTGCAATTTATGAAGTATTAAAGAAAAGTAAGTTTGATTATAATAAAATAAAGCTTGGCTCATACTTGGGCTTGTTAGTTACTTTTGAAACTAGGCTTTTGACGTTTAGTTAAAATGCCCACGAAAATGGCGATGCCTGATCACATAAAAAATTCCTGAATGAAACTCATATTCAAAACATGCTGGAGTGTCCAGATTATATCTAGAAGTGCCTCAGGACAAAACTATATTGTCTATTCAAAACTTTTCAAAGGTAAATGACACTTATATTAGGGATAAGAAAACTTACGGAAAAAAATATTATTCCAATAAAGAGTTTCTACGGAAACCAAATACAATCTACAGTAATGGCCAAACGCAACATACAACATAAGTTACTTTTTGACAATATAATGGCATTGGACTAAATCTGAGGATGATAAATACCATCACCAGTTTCGCCAAACAGGTGGTGCTAAATGGTGCAATTTTTGTTTATAGAATTGTTTTCTGAAAAGGTGTTGAAAATGTGTTTACACTGTTAAACTCAAAATTTAAATTAAGCCATAAAGAATTTTATTAAGCCCAAAATAGTTTTATTTAGCCCTAAATTATTTTATCACTATTTATATAATAAAATTTCAGAAATAAAAATTATGCTAGCAAAAATATATAAATTTTTTTTTTTTTTTTTAGCAATATTGGAGTGTAATACTAGAGGAAAAAAATTAATTTTTTTCGAAACAGGAATTATTTGGAATAAGGCTTCAAACAGGAATTTTAAGGAGTAGAGGTTTTCGGAGTTTTTTTGAAGGAGACTTGAAAATTTTAAAAAATTAAGAAATTTTAATCTTTTAAAGGTTAAACTATCTTCAAAGGTCTTGAAAATCTTCAAAGATCTTCAAAGGTTAAACTATCCAATTGAGTTCTCGAACTCATCGGAGTAAAGGAAAATGTTCAAAGATATTCTTGAAGTAAATATTCCAAGATGTTAATGTAAGAGGTACTTACATTAACAGGTAATGCAAAGAAAAACTACAATATCTAGTTAAAAAAAATTATAAGAGTTAAAAAAAATTATTGGCATAGAAAACCAATCTGATGTTAACTTCACTTTTTTTTTTTCTGATTCAAGAATAAATGTTTTAGTTATTTAATTATATATATTTTTTTAATTTTAGGAAAGCATAAACAACGAAAGTATATCAAACAACAACTCGAATTCTCGACAATCTACAAAATGCGAAAAATGTATTCTTGCATTCATTCTCGTATTTTCGCTATCCACTGTTTTAGCTTTAATTATTTATGGCTTCTTAAATCATTTAATATCGTAGCCGGTGGTAAATTATTTAATATCGCAACCGGTGATAAATCATTTAATATTGTAGTCGGTGATAAATCATTTAATATTGTAGTCCCCTAAAGTTTTTTAAAATGGTTTTAGTTTCATTTAAGTACGATTGCTAAAAGTAGTTTAGTAAAACAATTTACTTTAGAATTATACAAATCATCTAAAGTCGCATAAATATGTGCTTTAATGCAAAATACTCAAACTTATAATAAAAACTTACAAGTAAAACTAAAAAAGAAGTTTAAGATAACCAACTAAACTATAAAAACCAAATAATTAATAAGTAGTAATAACGATTAGCTTTTTTCAATTTTTATTTTTGTTAAAATTAAAAAAAAAAAATGATATTCTTATTTCCATCAAAAGTAATTTTAAAATTTTTAATTATTTTACTTGACGTTAAATCCTAAGGAAAGTTTTTTCTAAGCTTGATAATTCAATTGGTCATATATATCCTCTAACCAAACTCCTAGCATACTAAAAAGTCTACCTTAAACTATCGAACCCAAAACATTGTTAATCGTTTTGCAGTAGACCTTTTTTTTGGAGCAGGTTGATTGGAGTTTTGCTCATCGGTTACTTCGAGGATTATTCGTGGCAGCCGCTATTAATGGCTAGCCGATAACTTTTCGACATGTTAATTGCGGATAGTAATCGGCTAGCCACATTTGGCGGCTGCCACTAATAGTTCACTAAAAAATCGATGTGTAAACTCACAGTGGTCCGCTCAAAAAGCTTACATAGTTCCACTGAAATTCCGCTCTAGAATGTTTGGAAGATTGCTAATTAATACTTTATTTAAAAGTTTAATTTATTCCTTTTTATCAAGGTTCATTGTTTACATCAAGTTTTAATTGCTAATTTCCCCCATTCATAAATCATTTAAGTAATCCTATTAATAAAACTTCTAAATTACATACATACACACATACATATATGTAAATGCATACTTGTATATATATATATATATATATATATATATATATATATATATATATATATATATATATATATATATATATATATATATATATATATATATATATATATATATATATATATACATACATAAAAGGTAAAAGCTGAGAGCTTTTGGAAAAAGAAAAAAAAAACATAGGACAAAAAATCAGTAGGAAAATGATCATTGTTGTTTGATTATCATTTTTAGGTATGATTTAATTTACATCGATTAAATATGATGAAGCATTTAAAATGAAAATTATTGTTTTTTGATTGTCATTTTAAACAAATAAAGATAAAAAAAATTTCTCCGTATTCGATTCATGTTTATTTTTTTTAAAATCTTTTTAAACGCAAAATATTTTGAATACCTAAAGATTTTAAAGACAATTCTAAAAGAACGATCGTATGGAAAAAAAAGCTTCATGCCTAACTGAGTGCCTCAGTTTTCCAATGTAGGTAGCTGTATCATAGGTAGTCGTAATCAGGAGGTACGTCGATATGTTAAATGGCTCAAAGACAATTTTAACAACGTAAATATAGTCACTAAGTGGGTCGTCCATAAGCAATTGCATTTTAGCACAGTGGATAGTAAATATTTCATGAAATAATAAAGCAGTTAACAAAAGAGAAGAATAACCTTGTTTAAAAATCACTTTCTAAGGACCGAATTTCTTTATTATATAAATTTATCATTGACTATATAAGCAATATTGTTGAAAGTGAAAAGATTGATCTAGACGGTTGCGTCTTTACTACTACCATACAGACTTCTTCTAATAATCTAGCTTGCCAATCTCTTAAGCTTCATTTTATTACAAAACATTTTCAATTTAAACAACTTCTTTTCAAACTTACCTATTTCACGATGCACATAATGACTAATATCAAAAGTATTGTTGAATATTTTATTCCAATCGATAAAATTCTTCAAATTTTAAGCTCTGACAAAGGCCCAACAATCAACTTTAGCTCCAGTTATTAATCAGCCTCAGGTATTTTGAGTTGATCCGCGGTGCTCATAAAACTCACATCCACATGTATTTTGAGTTGATCCGCGATGCTCTGTGATAAGACTTAAGGACTTTTCTAAATAAAATCAATAATAAAAAAATAAAATAAAAATTGGTGATATTAAAAATCTATAATAATAGGAAAAAATTAGAAAAAATTGGAGAAATAAGTTCTCTTGCATATGTCAAGAACGAACGCCCTAATAGCAGGATTTCTACAATATTTTTCAGATTGCGGTCAAAAAGTACCTGAATAATTAATGGCACATTTTCTTGATCAAAGACAAAACAAGGAATAATCTTTGCACTTGACGAGAAAAGGTACAAAAACATCAACTACTGGTAAAGTTCTATCGGAACAAATACTAATATTTGCATTGATAATATTCAAATGGTTTTTATGAAAGAAAATATGAAGGAGATGGAGATCTTTGCCAAACCTAGGTATGAAGAAGATAACAATAAAAAAACAAAAAATATTGATGAAAAATGCACTCCCTTATAAAAAATAATTTTTTTCCTTCATTGTTTTTCTAAATTAAAATCTGGTCCAAATAGTATGAAAAAAGAAAGTATTGCCAACAGGTAGTTTAAAACTTACTTTTTTATATAAAAAATTATTAAAATAAAAAATGCTACATTAAACTTAGCTAAATTTAGAACAGTTTTTAGATTTACTCACTACTATACTGACGAAATTTCAAAAAAAAAATTTAACGATTATATTCGCTGCCGATAAATTACTAAACGATTATTCGTTCAACGAATAATCGGGAGCAATTACATTTGTTTAATGAATATTTGTAAAACATTTATTTGCTGAACGATGATTATTTGTTCAGTAATTGTTTAACAAGTAAAGTAAAAACGAAGGAATGTTTGAAACAACTAAATATTCTAAAACGGTAATTCTACAAACGAATATTTGTTAAAATATTCGTTTATAAATTAACCGCCGTGACGGTTATTCTACGGCTCGTCGTTCTCTACCTACAAAAAATAAGTTTTCGGTTTTAAAATCTAATGACAATTGTTTAAATTTTTTTTACATACGTGATTGAACAACCTAAACTTTTATTTATTAATTTACAACAGCAGGTTTCCTTTTATTAAACCCCTCCCCCATTTGTTAAATCTAGGCTGAAATTCTCATTTCTCTCCCCTTTACTCTTCCCCCCCCCTCCTTTGTATTGCAATGAGTGGTTTGATGCAAAGATTCTTGATAAATGTAGAAGAAGTGCACAAAATATGATCTAAGATTTTCGCAAGCAGCTTGATCAACGTACTGACTAAAACCATATTTGTTTATAAATCGTAAAAAAAAAGTTAAAGATAACACTGTCTGGACCATAATAAAGCCACTCTATATCGGGTAAGTTAAAATCCCCTAGTATCACCACAACTTTATAGAAAAACATTCAACACTTGTTTCCATATAGTTAAAAGCTATTTTTCCACAACCACAACTACGATAAATACCAATAACTTTGAATGTCTGACCACTGAGATCTAAATCTGCGCAGATGAATTCTTATTTATGAAACTCAAGTGGTATATCCACTTTAACAAACTTAATAAAACTGCGAAAAGTAAAAGAAATACAATTTAAATTTAGTAACAATACTGACCAGTGTAACCGGGTTGATTTTGAGCTTTTATTCGTATAAAGAATTTTCACTTTGCCTAAATGTAAGATTTAATCAAGTTAATTTCAGAAAAAGTTTGAGTGTTTTAAACGTTTTTAAACGTTTAAAGTTTAAGTTTCTTTAAATTCCTAACATTATTTTAATTTGTATTAGGCCTAGGCATTAGTATTGTCGCCCCACATCTAGTCAGCACAGCTCTTGTTTATGACAGTATTACAGTTATATGCAAAGGTTGTAAAATTCAAATTTGTTTTTTTATTCTTTATTACTCTTTAACAAATTTAAAAATGTTATTATAAGTAATGTATACTATTTTGAGAAACTTTCTCTTATTTATTAGGTTATTATTTTTATTCTGTAAGTTTTTTATGAAAAACTTTGAAAGAAATATTTTGCTCGATTTGTAAAAATAAGATTTTTTTTCCTATGTAAGAATTTTTCTACTTAATATATCTATTCTTATTGCTTACAAATTAACTCAATAAACAAATCTGGCATACAAAGTAAACAAGCCAAAACTGTCATCTTTTTGGTCGTACACTATTAAAAAAATACTGATTTTGGAGTAAATATAAAAAAAGTTTCAAATTTTATCCTCTTTCATTTGATATAACCATTATTTATTATTTGATAGTATAAAACATTTATAAATTGCATTTTTTTAATGTGTTTGAGCCTTAGCAACGCAAAGCATTAAAAAACCCTTTTTTAACCCATAATGTGTAAGTTAAATTGGCTTCTTTTAAAACAAAACAATATAACTCAGTTCTACTATAGATTAAACCCCTGCAAACACCAATTTATAAAAGGTTGCATGTCAAATAACTACTACTGAAATATCTCCATGGTAAGAAACAAAACTTGAAAAAGTCCTTGAATGCCATCAGAAGGTCTTGAGGTTCAAAGAACAAAAACACTTTTTTCAGTAAAAAAAAAAGTTGAAGTAGTAACTATAGTAACTCTGCTGTTATTCATTTTAATGATAAGAGTAAAGTTTTTTTGAGAGTTTTAAACTTTATATAACAGTCTAAAAATATCTTTTACATATAACAGCCATAACATATATTCCGTTTGACAAATCTTGTGTAAATCAAATGAAGCGAAAGTCAATATTTTTTTATTTTATTTATTTGAGTTTTCATGCTATATTTTTCTATACAATACTTTTATCCAAAGATATTGTTGGCTAAGCATAGGAACAGCCACAAATAGTCATTAAGACTAATCCAAAGTAGCGTCCGTTATTGATCAACATTTTTGCGTACAGAAGTACTACTGAAGCGCTGAGTTGGCGGTGGCATAATTTAAACCCGTATTGTACAACAGTCCAGGATTTAACTTATTGTTTGACTCTTTAAATGCTTTCACTTAGCTCGTA